CAATCTGACTGATACTCCAGAGAAGATGACTCCTGCTGAAGAACTGGGTCATAAAGAGGACATTGCAGAATGCTCTAAGAAGCATCCAGTTGCTGAAGATTCTCAAGCTCCCTCCTATGAAAGGCAGACTGTAGAAGACCTGAAAAGATCTGATATTTTGATGCAGGAAAGAATGGATAAACAGGATGACAAAATTTCGGAAATCAAGAGCATGTTAACCAAGCAAGAGGAAACCAACATCCAGATCAAGGGCTTGTTGGAAGCTTTGTTCACGCGTCTTCCTCCTCCCTCTTAGATTTTCCTCTGTTTAAAATTATTTTTATCTGTAATATTCTCTACATAGCTCTGAACTTATCGTTGATTCTGTTTTTAATATCAACTCATTTTGGCTCTGATTATGTATTATTTTTGATAACTGACAAAAAGGGGGATAAAGAAAAAGATATTTTCAATAACGGATTACTGAGACATAAGTCTCAAACATTCTAATCTACTTAAATTCTCTCTTCTAAAAAGCTTGAACAGGTACAAAACTCTGCTGAAAGATACAGTAAGATTCTGATGCTCAAAGACTCATGGAATTAAAAGGAAGTAATCAACTCAGGGGGAGTTTTTCTACTTAACTCTATACTTTTTATTCTTTATTCTTTATTGAAAAATCTGGTTTTTGTCATCATCAAAAAGGGGGAGATTGTTAGAACATAGTTTGATTCTACAACCCTTGATTAAAGTTTTGATGATAACAAAATACAAAGAATAATATTATTTCTAAGGTATATACAAAGAACAATTATGCTCCTTAGAATTATGCTTTGTATATGCAGAAGTTCTGATGGAATCAGCATCAGAATGAATCAACATTAGAAGATCAACAACTTATGGTACACACTGAAACCACCAGACCACACTGAATTTTGATGACCAGAATCTGCGCCTAAACAAATACACTTTGACTCTGATCAAAGACATCTTTACCAAGTCATCAACACTCTGAAGCGTTATCAGCAGATACAACAAAGAATACTCTGAAGTGTTACTGGTTACCCAAGACAGAATTAAATGCTAACGGCTTTCTTCAGACAAAGATCTTCTACAAAAGGAAAGTGCATTATTATCATTAAACATGCTTTATGGACAACGTATCCTTGCTTTCCTATATAAACAGGACTGCTTGTGAAAAGAAGCACGTACATACGCACTCAAAATTTGCTAAGCTATCCAAACCACGCACATTCAAAGCTTAAGCAAAGTCATTTTATTCCAAGCTTATTTAGTGTAATTATCACAGTTGTGATATACAGTTTTGTAAGGAAACAAAAACACACTTGTTCAATTCATTTGTAAAAGAAGTTCTTTAAGATTAACCGGATTGTGGTTGTACTCAAGAAGACTTTAACAGTTGTTAAAGTAGCTGCTGTAATTCTTTGAGAATAGTGAATTAAGACCTCGTTGGAGAGAGGCGAAATCACCTTGACGGGTGGACTGGAGTAGTTTGAGATCAAACGAACCAGGATAAAAATAATGTGTTGTCAAGCCACTTATTTTAAGTTTTACAAGTCAAACTTTTGAAGAAAGTCCATAAGGAGATATTGTTCCAGAATCAGAAGGAGATTCTGAACAAGTTCAGAGGTCACATAGAGTCAGAAATATACCAAGGAGATTTGCAGAGTTTGACAAGCTATAAGATACTGGGACTTTGAGGTATGAAGTGTTATTCCCTTCTAGTGTTAGATCACATGTAGACCTGATATTCTATCCAGACTCTGATTGGTATGAAGACAGAGTTGACAGAAGAAGTACTTCTGGGTACTTATTAAAATTTCTGGGAGGTCCTATTTCTTGGTGTTCCAAGAAGCAACATGTTGTTGCACTGTCAACCTATGAAGCTGAATATATTACAAGCACTCTGATTGCATGTCAATCTGTGTGAATTCTGAACTTGCTGCAGGATCTAAAGATCGAGGTAAACAAGCCTCTGAATTTGATGATTAATAACAAGTCTGCAATCAATCTTGCTAAGAAACCAGTGCTACATCGTAGAAGCAAGCATATTGAGACCAATTATCACTTTCTGAGGAATCAGGTTCAGAGTGGAATATTAGAAGTTATGCATTATATCACCCAGAAGCAGCTGGTGGATTTTCTAACAAAGGCTATCAAGACTGATCAATTTCTTTATTTGAGCGATGAAACTGGTGTTGTCAGTTTTGTGTAAATATAAATTAAGGGATGATGTTAGAAATAATTTATATTTTAGGAATGTCTTGCTGACTAAGTCAGTTAGAGGGTATTTTAGTATTTTATTATACCCTAATATTATGTATAAATAACCTAGTAGTATGTAGGTCAATGTATTCATTACTCCTTATTTTATAGTCGTTATTTAATATATTCCTTTTGTCTTTCATATCTCCTTTGTGCACCAACATATTTTAGATCAAATAAAATACTCTAACATAAAGAAAAAATGTTTACACATTTATAAGCTTGATGTTTGGTGAACTGTTAACTATTACAATTAAATAAATACTCAATAATTCGTTAGGGTCAAGATTAAGTCGGAAGGATCTTCCAATTTATAATCTAAGCTTGGATAATCATAAATCTCCTAAGTAAAAGAAAATATAAGAGGATCTCTCAGGTAAGAGATGATATTGGAGGACCATTCATGTTATAATTAGAAATTTTTCTTATGATCTAATTCAAAAGATCAATTTACCCCAAACACCTGTCTATGTGATTAAAATATTCATACTCTTTGCTACTCCTAAATTTTGGCAAAGGTCCCTTCTCAGAAAAACTTTTTTAGTCTACATATCATATACAAATAGAACATATGATACTGACGTGTCCAACATCACACGTCGACAAATCAAGATTTGGAGAAATATTTTTATGATCTCCAAAATATGAACCAAGGGATCTATATGATAAAACAATGACCCATTATATTAAGAAAGAATAACTTTAAGGGGGGAACTTATGAAACAAAAGAGGATTGATTTTCATAGACTTATATGGTGTATTTTATTGTGAAGGGATTCTTGAAAGCTTTCTCCTGAAAGTTAAGAGAAAACATCATCTTGTATCTAGTTGTGTTTACATATATGAATATTAACATACACAAAATTTAAGCAATTACTTTCATAGTTCATACTACAGATAGTCATGAACATATCTACTATATAAAGAATTGTTGTATGAACATCTTTACAATACAAGAATAGACTTAAAATGAAAGACGCTTAGTTTAGCAATTTTGAAACAAATTGGTTACAAGTCTTGAGGGAGGAGGGTAGACACATTTAGCCAGTTAAAGTTTATGCTAATATATGAATTTGAGTTGGACAAATGTTAAAGATGAATTAGATGATATCCTTCATACTTAAATGTTTATTGTAGTAAATTTTAAACATAAACTGAACAGTCATTCATTCTTAGTAAACAAAATATAAAACCTATATCAAATGAATGAATTAATTCTCAATAGAAATAAAAAACATGTTCATCTTTATGTGATTTTCTACATTTTGGATAAGAGGTGTACATGGGTCAATTTGGATTAAATTTAGTCAAAATCATGACCCAACTCATACAAAGTACACTGGTTTGGATGAGGTCAAATATCCACCCACGATATTATTGGATCAGTTTGGATAAAATCACGAATTTGTGGATTGGATTGGGTTGGGTATTGGGTTACCCAATCTTTTTTTCTTTTTTTTTCCTAACTTATATAATTATAAATGTTGTGACATTTTTTCTTAATAAATAGTTTAACCTATTACACTATTTTTTTAAACATCAAATATCTAAATACATGATAAAATTCATCATAAACATATTTGTAAAAACCTAAGTTACACTATAGTCATATATAAAATTACAAAAAATACTTACAACATACAAGAAGTAGCATAAAATTAATTAAATTATAACATCGTAAATAAGTTAAAATCAGTACTTACAAAATAAAAGATGTTTCTTAGATTATAATTGACACAACCAATAGTAAAGATATCAAAGTCATCACTTATCAAATTACAAAAATAACTAAAAGATAATCACTCAATAACTCATAGTTTTGTGGGTTGTGTGTGGGTTTACCTATAACCCAATTATTTTGAATGAGTTTTCATTTTTTAAAACCTTATTCACCCAATAACTCAACCCAACCCATTTTTTTGGGTCAGTTTGATTGGATTTTACTGGGTTTAATAGATTTACCCAATCTATGTTCACCCCTCTTAAGAAATTAGGCTTGTCTCTATTAAATACACACCACACATAAAAAGATTGACACGAAATATAATAACATTATAATTATTGCATTCATCTCTCAAAAATAAAAGTTTCCATGATCATAATATCAGCATCTTAATTCCCATTCTTTTTTCTTAATTATAACATGCTTGAGTAAGAAATTTTTAATATTGTTAGTACAAAATAATAAACAAATATATGCAATACTAAATTCAAAATATCAAACCCATAAAATTAGTTAAGCATACATATTAACACATAGAAGTGAAGTTTTTATGATCATACTTTATGGTATGAAATTTCAAATCAAAATGAGAGACAACAACTATACCAACACATACCATTAAAATCACCAAACAATGAATACAATTCTAACAAATTTTAATTGAATACATCCTATTAATTTTTATTATAAAATATTAAATTTATAGAATAATATTCATCTCATTGAAATTTTTGATTTTGAGCAAGATCACCATCCATATATTAAACGCAAATGAAAATCATAAAATGAAAAGAGAATTGAAAGATTTCTTTCAAAGTCAATCAACAATCCAAAAATAAAACACATATAGTCATATATATTTTAAATTAAATGGTATCAAAATGAGGTACAACCCAATCGTTTATCATTTATTATTGACGAATAATTAACCTCTCTCTCATGTCATCGAGGTTTAATGAAACTAGTTTGAAACACTTGTTGACAGTAAACATCAAGCTCTCACCTTTGTCCCTTAATTTTCAATATCAATGGGTTTTGTCAACTTGTAAATATCAGCAAGAGATCTGTATTTCTTCATCTTCTTTGGTCGAAAAATCCCATTGACCTTCTTAGTATTGGATCTACGATCAATGTCTTTAGATGAGACTTTCTTCCCCCCTTTAACCTGAATATCAGTAGACAAATCATCATTCTTCTGAATTTCATTTGGTGCTTGATCATCTTCTATTGTATTCAAGTGAGGTTTCAACATCTTGCATTGACGTTTGCTTCCCATAGGGTATCTTTGTTGTTGATCGCGTATTTTCTAAGGGTATTTGATGAAGCAATTTCGTTTTTGTGAGAAAGAAAGGTTGAGAGAGAATGGATGAAAAGCGGCGCCTCACCTTACATTAGAAAATATAGGGTTTAAGGTTAATTTTGTAAATTTATTCGGAAGTTGATATTCACACACTAATTGATCTAGAACCCTTGCAAAAATAATGCAAAATGAAATTCAAATCCTTTTTGGGTTACTCGTTGAAGACAAATAGGTTAAAATTGTAAAATATATAGGTATATGGGCTTCTTCTTTTTTTGTCAGGAAGTTTAAACCCCCTCGAAAAATACTAGTAAATTAAAATTAATGAAGGAAAAAATTAAATTTCTCTCTAAATAAAAGGTTTACTATGTTTTTGTTATTTTTTTTGTGTGCTCGTACTATTGTTAAGTTTCTTTTGAAATTAAAGCTTTGTTGTATCAATTTTGGACCGACCTAGTAGACAAGGCTTAGTAAGGCCCAATAGCTAGATGAAGGATAGTCACAAAGAAAGTATGCCATATGATTGTTCTCTCCATCAAATAGAATTCTCTTCATGAAATAACCAAACACAATCTCCCAGAAATGATCAAACGGCCAACCGCATATTACTCATATACAATTGCCAACCACACACCCTATTTAAAGGAGATCACACATTACTCTCAAGGTACAATTCATTTTCTATTCAAACTCCATTTCTTATTCTCTTATTGACTCGAGCGGTAGAGTGCTAATTACTGTATCCTAATTTATTCCGGGCATTTTTTAATTTTATTTTTCACGATGGAGTGTTAATTACTGTACCCTAATTTTGTCCGGACAATTTTTAATTTTATTTTTCAGCATCCAGCTTTGATTTGTTGTCCTTAAAATAACAATGTAGTTTTCCAGACAGACCGATTGGAACAATTTTCAATAATGCGTGGAGTAAGTAAACAGTGTTTTTAGGTTTGGGCCTACGATCATATCTTTTTTGAACTTTATTGCGCGTAGGTGAGTTTGGTATAATCATTTAATTTTTTTTTCATTCGCGCGCGTTCACATTTTATTTGGGTCAAATACTTTTTATTCTGATATTTATTAGTCGCAATAAATAAAATGAAAAATTTGATAATCTTGATAAAAATTATTTTGTTTAATACTATATTTTTACTATTTTAAAATGACTAAAAGAGCACTAGATGACAAAGTGAACAAAATATCTTTTCAAATTATCTCACTTTTTCTCCCTTCCAACATTTCATCACTCACACTATTCACACCCTCACCCATACACCCCCACACTTTTTTCCCTCACAAAAGGAAAATTTTTTAAATCAATCGCAAAATGAAAATTAACACTATAAAGAAGAGGAAATACAAGGAAAATAGAGGAGACAAAAAAATATAAGGATAAATATAAAATTCACAACTTACAAATTTCTTCAAATACCTCCTGACTACCACATTGTACTAAAGATTCTCTACATAGCAGTTTATTATTTTTTAATCCACATAAATTTTTATTTTATTTTTTTAATTTTTTAATATTTTTTTAACTTTTTAATGTATTTAACTTTTTTTACTTTATATTTTATATTTTATTAACTTTATAAATTTCCGTTTTCTTAAATTATTTTTATTAACATATTTCTTTATGAAATTATATTTATAAATTAATTATTAAAATTTTATCTAAAGGATTTAAGGCCAATTATCTTTTCAAGAAACCCATTATCTAAAGTTTTAAAATGTTAAGTGTAAGAGTTGTATATAAACACTTTCAATTTCTGAAACAATTTCGAAGGGGGACTCAAGTTATTTGTAGTTGATATTGTGTTCAAGCTTGCAAAAACTTCAACTCTAACCCATTTATCTAAACAATCTTTGTGATACATATGACCACACCTTAACATTTCACCTCTCAATCTTTGTTTGTTACAACTACAAATCCGGTTGATTTGATAATCACAAAGGAAAGAATTTTAAAAGACAACTTCACTGTCATACACACCAACAACAACATTAATTCTCTCTTCCTCTTAATTTTTAATTTATGATGTTTGTTATTTTGATAAGTACTTTTGAAAGTTTGATTTTGAAAGTTTTTCTTGTGTTTATTGCGTGAAAAGAAAGAGTGTTAGAGAAGAAAATTTTTGTTGTGGTTTATGTTTTCTTTATTCATGTGTGAGATGATGGAGATAGTATATCATAACCATTTATATTTCTTTTTTATTTTTCTCCAATAAAAATTTAAGTTTAAAATTCAACTCCAACTTATTATCATTTATTATTATTTATTAAAAAATGGAATTAGAAGGGGGATACTGCTCCTATTTAGTTGAAATTTTGTATTTATTTATAAAAAAAAAAGGATGTTTTAGGTTAATTTTTTTGAAATTTTCTTTAATAAAAGAATTAGACTCATCTAATAGCTTTTGGTCTACGCAGCCCTGACTGATTTTCTATACCTCTTATCTCTATCCATTTGTATTATCTATTTTTTATATTTATTTTAAATATTTGTTTTATTATTAAAAATAAAATTTGGGATTTTGGATTGGGTCCTGCGTCCATTTCTATTTGCACAATTAGTATTTTATTTCATTTTTTCCTTTCATAGACGTATTTAGAAGTTTGTATTTATAATCTTTAAATATTTAAAATAGTTAATGACTTAGAATTAATTGATCAACTTTTGTCCAGTCCTAGTCCATGTCGGTTGAATTATCGTTTAGTAATTTAAATCTAAAATAATTATGTAAATTGTCTCTTTTATAATATCGGATGAAAAAAGATTAATTGGGTGCAAGCCTCTTTCTTTCTCGAGTGCTCGAATACAAATCGTATAACTTGTCTTTCGAACACTCATCTTCCGTCCAAAATTTAATAAACGGATTGAATTTGTTAATTCTTTCATGGGAGAAAAATGAATAATTGAGTGTATGCCTCTTTTTTTCCCGAGCATTCAGAAACAAGCTGTATTGCTTTCCTTTTAAATGCTTGCCTTCTTTCAAAGAACCGTGACTCAATTCGTCTCACATATTTCCTAAATAAATTTGGATGAAAAAGGATTAATTGGGCGTATTTTCCCCGAGTGTTCGGATACAAGCCGTATAGATTATCTTTCGAATACCCGTCTTCTGTTCAAAATTTTATAAACGCATCAAATTTTGTTTATTCTGTCATCAGGTGAAAATGTAATAATTTGATGTATATCCCTTTTTTCTCGAGCATTTAGATATAAGCCGTATAACTTTCCTTTCGAATGCTCTCCTTCCTTTAAAGAATCATGATTCAATTTGTCTCACATATTTTCAAAATCAAATATTGGATGAAAAAAGATTAGTTGGATGTTTATCCCTTTTTCCCCTAGTGTTCAGATACAAACCGTATAGCTTACGTTTCGAATACTCGTCTTCCTCCTAAAAGAAACTACAACCAATCAAATTTATTTTTCCCCAAGTGTGAGTCTTTTTATTTCATGCAACATCTATTTCCCAAGCGCAAGTCTTTTATTTCAGTCACCAACTCGGTTACCGCTCGAGTGCGAGTCTTTTTCAATCAATGAGTCTTTACGGCCCAAGTGCGGCTAAGATCACTTTAACAATTAAATTCAACCAACCACCAAACACTTTCTACCTAGAACTACGTAGCTTTGAGTTCCCCCATCGCACCTAGGGATACCTAGAAGCAAGATTCAACATCTTGTCAAGCACCCTAACAAAAAAACTTATTTTTCGCTTTTCTTTCTTTTTGTAAATATGTCGTAATTATTAGAAGAAGTCAAAAATACCTTAGGATAACTCTCTTATTCGGAAAAATAATTAAGTGGTTACCATTAGTTATAACATATACAACAGGGTGCTAATACCTTCACCGCACATAATCGACTCCCGAACTTGAGTTTAGATTCGTTGACCACATTTTTGTTCTTTTAGGGTTTTATCAATGTTTTCCCATTTAAAAATAAACTTATGTGGCGACTTCATTGAATTTTAAGCGTTTATTCACTCAAATATTTTTCTTGTCGCAACAACTGACGACTTCATTTGGGAATTTAGAGAGTCAAGCCTAGATTAGTTAGCTTTCTGGTGAGTGTCAACATTGTTTATTTTATTTGTTCTAACTAATTTTATTTTTATGTTCTTATTACTGTTTTTGTTGATTATTCAAATGCTGTATGATTTGAATATTCTATTGGTCTGGATTTTTTGTTTGCTTTCACTTACATACATTTTGATTGAGGCTCTATACCCGAGTCTAAAAACCTTAAGTTTGAGTTGATGGTCACATAGTGTTGGTTTTCAGGATGTATGTATCGCTTGGTTGGCATGAAGACCTCACCTAGAGAAGATCCTCTTGGGGGTATTATTGTCTAATGAGTAATTCATTATTGACGAAAATATTTTCAAACGAGTTCTGTGACTCTAGGAATCTTGTATAGAACCTTAAAACTCGTTATTAGGCCTGATGGTCACGTAGTGTTGACCTTCGAAATGTATGTCTCGCTGGGTTGACATGAAGACCTCACCTAGAGTAGATCCTCTTGGGAATATTATTGTCTAATGAGCAATTCGTTATTGACAGTAATATTTTTAAAAAGGATTTGTGACTTTAGGAACCTTGTCTAGAATCTTAGATTTGATGGCCGCATAGTGTTGACCTTCGAGATGTATATCTCGCTTGGTTGGCATGAACAACTCACCTAGAGTAGATCCTCTTGAGTGCATTTTTGTCTAACGAGTAATTTGTTATTAATGGCAATATTCTCAAATAGGGTATGTGCCTCTAGCAAACTTGTAAGGCTCTAGAGCAATCTCTCACGAGTTTCACTATTTAGAAAGCACTTAGAACCTGTCAGTTATAAGAAGTCATACATGGACCGTTTGAAACTGCATCGTACATGCCCTCATGCATCCATACATAACATAACATGACATTGAATTTTCATAAAAATATTTTGGCATATCAAAAACAAAACAAAAATTGCATCC